TATCACAATTTGATGCCGCCATAAGAGTAATCAAGTAATGTACCCTTAAAGTGGTTGGAAATGTACCCTTAAAGAGATGAAACAAATCCTCCTACATAAGCTTTACCTGTTTATCTGCAGTCTTCTGTTTTCTAAATCTCTTCGAAAGTGCTGAATTTAGATAAAATCCTTCTGCATCTGTCAGTTGCACTGAGCAGAGGGTGGGGAGCTGAAGTTAGAGTTCTTGTACAGTGCGTGAGAGCTGATTGGAGGAAAGGGACACCCCCCCCCCCCTTTCATACACACAGAATGAAGGAACATGCAGAGTTGTGTTGTGAATAGACAAGGTGTGTGTTGAGCTCTCCTTCCATCACCATTTTGTCTCTGGTGCTGGGACAACTTGTCAAACTGACACATTGATAACAGGAACAAATCAAGAGAGAAATGACGGAGCTTTGGAGAGAGACTTGTAATATCAATTCCCCACCTCCCCATACTATAAAAGGAACCACTATGCAAATGTGCTTCATTATTTATAACAGAAATCCAGACAAACAGTGAAATATACATTTCTTACCTGCATGATGTTTGGATCATGAGGCAGACTGAACAATAGTTACAGACAGCCCAGCCAGGTCTTTAAAGTGTTTTTGCATTTTGCAGTCAAATTTGAGAAAACCCTACTCTATGTTTGTTAAGTGTTCCCATGCACACAGCACGGTCATTTTTTTATTATTTACAATTTAGATCAGTGGTTGTCATCTTATGAGCTAAAGGGAGCCTCAAATGTGGCCCCTGCAGCCAAGGGGCTGCACATAATGTTCAATGTGTGTAATGCTTGAGAGGACTATCAGAAACGAGGGTCTGATAGTGTGATCGTGTTACAGAGTTGGCTGGGGAAGACAATAAGAAAATGAGGCTAGTAGACATCAATGCTAATACCCTAATGTTCCCGCTACAGACTGCTGAAGTCAGATGGCTGCACACCACATACCAAAAGGCTGCCGGTTGGGCACCAGTGTTTTAGATGTTTCTCAGCAGAAGCTACACGTTACCCAATACAGCTGCTACTGATTATGGAACACCCGCGACTTGTAGGTGCATAGATAAGCACTGTACCAGTCTACAAATCACCACAGAAAACTGTCAGAGATATTTGTATCAACTTCAAATCACTACCACCAAATCATCCATACAACATCAGCTTTAGCAGGTCATCTGGATGTTCTGTATAGCCATATAATGGGCATGAAATATGAAGTCATTTTACAGCACCAAGGGTACCATAAGGTACAAAACTCTGCTCCCTTGTAATTTTTCTATATTCCAGGGTAATAGAACCTCCACAATTATAACATCTGACAAGTGCTTTCTATTCCCCGCCCCCAGGCGTGAGATTTAGAACTTCATGGGACATCCCACAAACAGGTTTTTATCTTGAAGAGTGGTAGAGCGCAGGCCCCTAAAACATACAGTCTTTGGGCTCAGTTCACAAAGCTAACAAACCAAAACAAGAATAGTGATTTTAAAAAAGTGTCACTTTTGTTAGCGAAGCCCAATGAGTTTGGGCATTGTAGTCACATGAGTAGAATAAGGATCCTTGTTTTCTTGTTTTGCTTTTTATTTGCTTTGTGAATTGAGCCTTCAGACTTCTATGAGAGCATTTCATAGATTGGAAATCTGTGCAGAAAGGCACATGCAGGCTGCCATTGTTGACCTCCTTGTCAATATGCTAGTTGCCTGGCAGTTTTCAGGTTTAATGCTTTCTGAAACACCAAACTAAAACTAGTTTGTAGATCAGGAAAGTCATAATGATGTCAGAGCTCATAGTCTGTACGCTTGTTCTAGGTGGGTGAATAAAAAAACAAAATACTAAAGCCATTTGATGACAGTCAAGGAACTAGTATTAGAAGAAAACAATAGAAAAAAGTTGGTGCACCAGTCTAGTGCATTATCCAAAGCATGTTTAAGAGAAATCCAAAATAAAAATACTCACAAGCATTGAAGTAAACAGGCCACACTTCCGTTGCCAAATGGAACAGTTTCCCAAGCACAGGGCCACACCAGGGTCCCTGAAGGCTGACGCATTTTGAATGAATATCCTTCTTCTTCAGAGCCTAGCTACAAATGATCACTCAGCCAGCAAAATAATCTTGTCCACATCATGAGAACCAGGAGTACCTCCCCCTTAGTTCCTCCCATGGGAGGAGTCTAAGGTAAAGTATACCAAAAACCCAATCTAAATTCATAAATTAAATATTCAAAATTGCAAAAGATTATATAAGTAGTAAGATACTCCCCATAATATTGTCATGTCTAAATGAGTGTTTTTAGAGGTGAGGTTAGTAACGGCTGCCACTATACTATGTATACAGGTTTCCATTAAGCAGTTCTGCAAGGGTAGGCTGGCCCTACTCCTTAGATCAATGACATTAAGGTTTAACTATGAGCAAAATAAAACATTATACATATAATGTATTCTGTTAATAGAATTAACACAACAGCTTTTGTTTTCCCCCATAACATTTTTTAGTTACTTGCTGATCCTGACAGTAGATCCATTACTCTTTCACATTCTTTAACAGGCCAAGCTGTCTACCAGATGCAGCAGTTTTAGGGTTGTGAAAAAACATAGTTTACTGGTGGAGGTGCTTAGCATTGCCATCTTTTATTCATACGATTTAAAATGGCAAGAAACCCAAAAACAAAAATGTATTATATTGCAGCTTAGCGATACTTAGCTGTGGTGGGTGCATTCGTTTTCTTTTTTAGTAGCAGTTAGAGAACTATTTAACACTAACAGGAGTGGTTATAATGGTCAGCCTCTATTCATTATTGAAAACCTTTATCTGAAAAGAAGAAAAAAACTGTTTGCTATAACTGCTTATAAAGAGTTAGCTGGACTTTGATTTCAATTCCTTAGTCTTAGCCATCTAAATCTGCTAGTGTAATATTACTCTCTCCCAAGACTGACAATGCTGCTGTCCAAAGGTAGTGGCAGACTGCATGATCTATGTCATTTTTGCCCAGAGTTTCATAGTAAAGATATTATTACTCATTTCCATTATTTTATAAAGACAAGAGGTAGTGCTTTAAAGCATACCTGGGGACTGTAGATCAAGTGACCCTTGTGCCAAAGAAAGTCATCATATACTGCAGGGAATATAGTTCCTGTTCATTCATAACTGGTGAAATGTAACAAATGGGCTCAGAGCTCCACTCCACAGACTGACGCTGTACTTGGTGCAGCATGGTGTCACCCAAAAAGGCTAAAGACATACCCAGGATGCAATGTGATGGTCTTATAATACAGTGAAGACAACCAAATCCCACCAACACAATGGCCACGCTGTGGAAGTACAGGAACCAGATGTGATGTCACAGGAACCCGTCATCCAGAAATGATTCAAACCCCTGGCCATATGGAGGTGTCTGAAAAAGGAGAGGACAGAAAGGAGCCCACAAAAGCGGTCTTCTGTAATGTATTAAGTGTATCGAAGCGACGTGCTTCTTTATCACATCCACTTCCGGTTCCTGTACTTGTGGAGCGTGGCTATTTTGTCTTTGGGATTTGGTTGTCTTCACTGCATGGCAAGACCATCATTGTGGTCCACCCCCCCCCCCTCCTTTGGCATTGGCAGTTCCCTGATTGTTTGGCCATCAAGTCGTGTATTTCTTTAGCCTCCCTCCACCTTTGGCATTGGCAGTTCCTGGGTTGTTTGGCCACTAAGTTGGGTATGTCTTTAGCCTTTTTTTGGTTACACCATATTGCATCAAGTACAGCTCAGTCTATTGGTGGAGTAAAACTCTGAGCCCATTTGTTACATTTCACCAGTTATCAATAAACATTGGAACTATATTCGTTGCAGTATATGATGACTTTCTTTGCTACAAGGGTCACTTGATCTACATTCCCCAGGTATACTTTGAAGTGCTACCTCTTGTTTTTATATTCTGTTATCCATTTCCAGTGGTTGGGCAGCTGCTCAGGTTTGGGGGACCTTTCATACTTTGGGAGATCTGTGATGGACACCTCTGAAGCTTAAATAATTTGTTATTTCCATTATTTTGTGCACTCCAATTCAATTGTAGAAACAACAAAAAAAGCATGGGAGTATTTACCCTTTCGTCCCTTGTTTTCTCTTTGCTGATAAAAAGTATGTTGTTCTACATCTAGTGCCCAGACTACCACCTTCTGAATTGGAAATCATTTTAAAAATAACCACCAAACGTCCAGTAAAACTATTGTGCTTTATTACAGTTCAGACATTTGTCTTATTTTTTGTAAAGGATGTAAATGTCCGTATTCATTGTTTCTTTAGTTTCTCCCATTGCACAAGAGAAGCAGTGAGTCATTATTCAAAACCATCCTTTAAAATATGCACAAGTTACATTTTTATGTCAGAATCCATAGGCCTTCAATAATAAGCCAGGATTCTTCCATACCAGTGGATCTCATGAATTTAGGAATGTCCCCTGCTTGTATCGCGTATGTGTGCATATATACAGTATAAATATCTATATATTCACATACTCACAAGCATATATTGTATATCCCCGAAGACAAGTGGAAGTACCCTCCCTGGTAAACAAATCTTGTTCTGGACATCGGGATCTTTGTCTTTAATCCAACCTAGTCCTAGGAAATAGACATAAACACAGCAAGGCACTTCCACCTGTGTAATGCTCATCTTTGAATATATACTAATTACTGTTGTAAAAATACAACTACTATATTTAATATATAATTTAAAAACATTTCCAACTCTTTTTTTAACTTGGAAAATATCACTAAAATTGATAACTAGCTGCAACAGGCATTGGCAACGAGGAGCCCTCAGCCACAGATAATATTACAGAAGTCCTTAATAAAATATGCCTGAGTTGAAATTTCAGGGAAATATCACAATAGTGTTAAACTCCCTGCCAAGTGTAGTACCCATTTTTTTCATTGGTTTTAAATAAATAAAAATAACAATAAAAATAATAATAAAAAAAAAACACAAAAACAGAAAAAATAACTAAGATTCGGCAGTGTTCTCCGATAAGGTTTGAAGAAGATTCTTGTATATTACAGAGTTCATAAAACGTGGGTAGGAGTCTCTGTGCATTAAGGTATAGATCTGGAGCTGGGCATCATCAAAAGTGTGTTGTGTGGGTTCCAACATGTTTCGGTTGATGACTTCCCGCACTCGGGAATCCAAGCTCACCTGAAAAGAAAGACCTGACATTTATTATTCTGTTGCAGACAAAACTTATTTTCAAAAAAAGTTTTATCGTTATAAAAGTAGTCTTTGTGCTCCAGACAAGTGACTTTGCCTTGGCTGAGATGATGTCATCAGTTTACTGCACACAGGAAGATGCATTTCCTCAGTCTCCTCTCCACCAGTGATTATGCTACAACATTGCAGTATTTTAGCAAATCACAAGTTGAGTGGCTTCTCATAAAACTGCACTTAGTCCTGAGTGGCTAGTAGTAAGGTGCACAGAGTAGGTAACACTAAACATCTTCCAAGACACCCACCACACTGCGGAGCGACTCTCAGGTTCTATAACTATGTCAGTACCTGGGGCAAACTGCCACAAGCTGAACTGTACATCAGATGATCAAATCACAGCTTTAAAGATCCTATCTAACCTAAAGTGTTACTAATCCCAGGACCCTGCATTCACTGTATCGCAGTGGTCTCCAAACTGCGGCCCTGGGGCCAGATTCGGCCCTTTGCTTTCTTTTACCTGGCCCTTGGGGCACTATTCCATCCACTGACAACAACAAAAGGCTTTCTTTTATCCAGCCTTTGGAGCGCTATTCCATCCACTGACACCAACAAAGGGGCATAAATCCTCCCACTGACCCCAGGAAAGAGGCATAATTATTCCCAATAACACCAAGAACTAGACACAATTTCTCCCAATGACACCAGTAATGGGGCACTATTCCTCCTATTGACACCAACAATGGGGCACTAATCCTCCCACTGACACCAACAATGGTGTATTGTTTGCTTCCACTTTTTACTCCCACTGACCACAGTCCAGCCCCCCTCAAGTCTGAAGGACCATAAACTGGCCCTTTGTTTAGAAAGTTTGGAGACCCCTGCTCTATCTGGTCTCCCACAGTACACACAACATGGAAATGCAATTATTTTAGTAAATATAAACTGCTAAATAACATTTCTCATCAGCAGTTAGAGCAGTCTTTCAACTTCTATCAGTGTCCAGCAGAGCACTGGCCAAAGCTTGTAGGAGTAGTTTTCATTCTCCCCTGATTGTCCTATGAGGTTGCATAACCCTTGACCCTCTGTTTGGACAGTACTGATTGGCCCTGCCCTGATCACATGTATTCTCCCAAGGGAAAAAAAAAAAACTCTCTATCAATACACACCAAACTGAGCATGTGCAGCTTGCCCCAAAGGCTCTGTTCTATCAACAGATGGATTGGGGACAGTAGAAACAAGGGAGGATTAGAGAAGACAGGATCAAACAGCCTTTTTACACAATGTGAAGGATCACCCCTTAAATTTCAAAGATAGTATAACAAGCATGCTTTACTGCATACACAGACTGATTTTACTGTTGTGGGTTTAGTAATACTTTAAAGCTAAACTCTAGGCAGATATAAAAGTCACACATTAATACAACTCTGTAATTGCTAATGAATCATTAAATGTATTTTTAAATACCATCATGTGAAAGTACCTCTAACTGACTTGGCATCAGCCTCTTCCCTTGTACTTAACAGTCTGTACAGCAGAGTTTTGAGAGGGGGAGAAGCAGCAGAAGGAAACTGGTGTTCTGCAGTACAAGGAGCATGATGATAGTAGGAGAAAGCCGAGAGATGAGATCATCAGCCTGATTCTTTTAACAAAAAACTAAAATTGTGCCTTTGTCCAAATATATATGGACCTGTGTATATATATATATATATATATATATATATATATATATATATATATATATATTTGTTTGTTTGGAGTTCAGTTTTAATGTTTTAGGTGACAGTTCATTACAACATTAAAGTGATTGTAAACCCTCAACAGTTTAAAACAGAAATGTCAGGCAAAACATTTGTGTATAGATATAAAAAAAAATTATGATTACCTCCCCCCCCCCTTTTTATAAGTGCTTACATACCCTCTATTCTCAGCTGCATAAGAGCTAGGAAAGGAGAAACAGCAGTACACTGATCTTCCCTGTAAATGGCTGTACGACGGGAAGGGGGTGTCAGGATAAGTTTGATCACTGGAGGAGAGCAGACTGAGTTCCCAGCCCAGCTACAGATCTTCCCAGTAAATGGCTGTACGAGGGGAAGTGGGTGTCAGGACAGGTCTGATCACTGGAGGAGAGGAGACTGAGTTCCCAGCCCAGCTACAGAACTGACCACTCTGTGCTCTCACACCCTGTGTAGTCAGTTTTTAATAGGAAGTAGAGGGACTTGAAGGAACACCAGGGATTTCACACAAAGGAAGCAATACAAAGAGAACAGGATTCTTTTTCATACAAGTACTTTGTACAGCAGGCACATATGAGGAATATGAAATGTTGGGTTTACATATTCTTTAGGCTCCATGCGTACTAGCATTTTTTTAAGTTAAAAAAATACTTAATTAAAAAAAACGCTGGTAATAGCATTTTTTTGGGGAGTGTTTTAGCAGCGTTTAGGAGCATTTCCTGTTTTTTCTGCTGGAAAAACACTCCAAAAATCTCTACAAACATTGTTTTTTCTGATCCTAGACGCTGAAGCTCACAAAACACTAGTAGTAGTGTGCATGGACACATAGGATAACACTATTTAGCTTCTAGGAGCAGAAAAATGCTAATAACAGCTTCTAGGAGCTTAACAAAAAGCTAATGTGCATGGACTCTTAAGCTGATTTTAAGGCATTTTGCTCTGTGCACTGGATAGTACAGACTGCATATACCGTACACAGAGCAATGTTTACACTGGCCTGGGCTTGTGATGACTGCTATAGTACCAGGAAAGAAAAGGCAGAATTATTTATTTCAGGTACTTATATAGCACCATCAATTTACACAGCGCTTTGCATATATATTGTAAATGCACATCCATCCCTAACCCTCAAGGGGTGTACAATCTAAGGTCTCCAACTCACATTCATACATACAAATACTTGGGCCAATTTAGACAGGATCCAATTAACCTACCAGCATGCCTTTGGATTGTGAGAGGAAACCGGAGTACTCGGAGGAAACCCCGCAGGCATAGGGAGAACATGCAAACTCCAGGCAAGTGGTGCCGTGGTTGGGATTCGAACCAACGACCCTAGTACTTCCAGGTGGGAGTGCTAACCATTTAGCCACTATGTTGCCCATGGTTGTAAAGGTTCAAGGTTTTTTAGAATGCATGAAAGTAAAAAAAAAAACCTTCTGTGTGCAGCAGCCCCCCCTAATACTTACCTGATCCCCATCGTGATCCAGTGATGTGCATGAAAGCCTTGGTTCTCCAGAGACTCCCCTTCCTTATTGGTTGCTGTCAATCACAGCCAGTGAGCCAATGAGTAGAGAACACGGCATGGCCCTGTGTGTGAATGAACATGCAAAGCAGTGACTTGGAATCGAGCCTGCTTGGGTGCCCCCATAGCAAGCTGCTTGCTTTGGGGGCACTTGGCAGAAGTGTCATCGTGGGACCCGAGAAGAGGAGGATCAGGGCTGCTCTTAGGAAAGTCACTGCACAGAGCAGGTAAACATGTTTGTTTGTTTTTTAAATTACTTTTAATATCACTTTAATGGCTCATATTTGCAAAAGTTGCATGCATGGTGTCCATTAATACATCAAAAAAAGTGAACATTTTTAAAAGTACAACTATCCTTTAAGTTTCAATAAAAGCTTGAATTGCATATTTTGTTGCCTTAACCTTTCAACTTACTGAGAGCCACTAACAGACACCCCATACTGTGGACATACTGTGAGCAGTCCATACCTGCTGTGCCATAATAGGCCTCAATCGCCTTACACTAAATATGATTTACAGTAAGCAGCTCTCCTGATTGACAAGTCTGTTTTCTTATTTCAGAATGGCAGTAATGATTCTCTGCTGTATTGTCTAGGAATATAATACCATAAAGGTCACACTGTTTTAAGAATAATTATTCTCTTTCACATCAAGCCCCAAGAAAGCCTCCTCGGGGGGATCTCACTTGGTGATCATCTTAAATGTCTTTCCATTGTTTATACACACTGAAGAGTCTCGGCACAGCGCAGACTTTGTCAGTTTAATAAAGTGAAAATGTGTTTTGTTTCATTGCTGTCAGTGAACTAATAAGAAAGCAGACAAAGTGTTTCTCTTGGTCCCCATAGTGTTGGTCCAGCCAGTTCCACCAGTGAGATGATCTATTCCTTGAGTGGTTGTGGTTTGTTTTGTGGTTTTATCTTTCCCAGTGTAGAAGAGACATCTGTCAGTATCAGCAGAGATTAAGCACACTATTTATGGAAAGTAAACACTATTCCCCGCAGTGGTTGAGCTACAGCTTTCTGGGCACTCGTGTAAAAAGTTTCAGTTGTAGTTATGATGTCACACATCATAGAACAGATAAGGATCTTATAAGCAATATAATTAGTAGACAGTAAATATTTGGTTCATTATGGGAGAGTTCCCCCTATGGTATAGCCAGGGCCGGAGCTTCTACTAGTCAAACTAGGCAGCTGCCTAGGGCGCACTGCCACCTAGGGGCGCCAGGCACAGAACAGGCCGGTACTCTCTCTGTGTGGGATGCCACCATGTCATGAATGATCCTTCAGCCGAGGGAGGAAGAAAAAGACAGAGGAAGATGCTGGGTATCTGGGGCCAATGTAGCAGCTGATCTGAAGTTCCTTCCAGTGTTCCTCTCAGACTTGGTCCCTTACTGCAAGCCGGCTTGTGGCTGCTGATCACTGTAGAGTTCCAGCCCTTCTCTTCCCATTCATCAGCAGAGGAAGTTAATGTCTGACTGTGTCTGTGTGAGTGTGATCCAGCCGGCCGGCTATCCATCACATGTTCAATGTGGCTGTGAGAGATGACATCATCACTGCTCTTCTAGTGCCTGCTGATCTGTGTCAGTGTTGGTGGTGGTGTGTTGTATCATATCTGTCACTGTGTGGGATTGTTCAGTTCAGGTGTTCTTTGGGTGTGTGAGCTGGGCTTCATTCTCCCCCCCCCCTCAATACCTGGGGAATTCCAGGCTGGACTCTGTCATCCATCATCCTCCACTC